TGTTGGAATTGCTCCATGAAGGAAAGTAGATGAGAATATTCAAATGAAGAAAAAGAAAACTGATCTTCCCAAAGGCCAATGGCCATGTCCTTTTACCCCTGCACTTCATTTGTCAGGGCAGGCTAGAAAAGAGCAGCTAGTGCATGCTGTGCAGATAAATCAATTAAAAAAATTAATCTACTCCGGATGGTATGTGGTGCACTCCTGCCTCTCTTCACCTTTGCAATCTTCTCTTGCAGTAGGCTGAATATGATATGTTGTCGTCCGTCCCCCCCCCTCTCTCATTGCCACCCACCACCTTATTACAGAACATTTCTATAATTTCCTCTAAGATTTTGTCTTCTGTTGGGGACAGGAGTCTGTGACCTCTATGTCAAGCACCGGTTATGCAATCTATATGAGACTTGCTGTAATGTCAAGGGGCCATCCTGGGCTTTCTATTCATGCCATATTCATGGGGGTTAGATTTGCAGTCCATACTTGGGGTGGCTGTAATTCTGGAGGTAGAGCAGGCAGTGTTACTGCTGTTAAGAGAGGGGGTGGAGGAAGGCTAGACATTATAGCAGGAAGGAGAAAGCTCAGAGGAAGATGTATGAGCTTCTGACCCCCTCTCCATTATATGGAAAATTGTTTAATGTAGGGCTCTGAAGTTTTTAGGCATTATGATAACTAGAAGGGGAAACTAGAACCTTTCCAGTGGAATTCATACACACCCAGTCCCACACACACAAGCCAAGAGTTTGAGTTCTTCCTTTTTGCTGTTGATTTATATAATTAATATATAGAATAGAATTCAACTTTATTTATATACTAAAAGTGCACTAAATCCTATGTCTCCTGTCTTTATCAATTCACTTTCAGCCATACTGAAGTTGGGCAGATATTATTTTATTTATTTATTTTTAGCATGAAACTGAAAAACAGGGCAATGCTAGCCACGGCCACCAACCAGGTTTTAGAAGAAAAAAAACCGAGCCCAAAGACCACAGGGAGGTGCTCATTTCTGAAGGTAGCATTAATACCATACTGAAAATGGGTTGAAATTGTTTTTAATATGACACCTGAAAAAACTACCAGCGGCCACAACTACCAAACAAGTGGTTATAAACTGAAACTAGGCAACCGGGTTTGAGAAAAGGAAAAAACAAAAAATCAGAGCACACAAACAAGTGGGAGGTGCTTATCAACAAGACTGCCATGGAAAGATGATTCCCTTCACAGGCTGGTGTCCTCTCTGACAATTTCAGAGCCCTAGCTTACACATTTTGCCCTTTTCAGGCTCCTCAAAGGCTTGTCCTCCTCTCAGCTCTCATCTTCTCGCTCTCATGTCTGGTCCTCCTCCACCTCGTCTCCTGAAGTATTATTCCACTTCACAGTTTTGAGTAAAACCATTTCTCACTGAGCCCTGGGATTTTTTCTAAATATATATAGAACATGAAAATCCATTGTAGTGAGTAATGATTTACGAATATCAGAAAATTGAGTGATTTTCTATAGAAGTCTTTTGGAGTATATCAGGGAAAAGGTGCCTGTTATTGTCATTTCAAGCTCTTGTTTTTAATGCTAAACTCTACTCACACTGAGTTGCATGTTTCATAATTTACATGAATCCATAGTTGTGTTATAAGCCCCCCAGTTCATCTTCTGTGTAAAAGAAGCTGTTGTAGCTCCTCCCTCTTTAAGGAGTACTGCCTTTTGATTGGTTGCATCTAGAAAACACAGTGTTTGAACGACTTGAGTACATGTGACTGTGGATATTATGGAAATATAACACACAAAATAAGCCTTTGTTTGTTTCCTTTCTTTACAGTGGGTTTTTTCACAAGACCCCCCTCACACGTTTCCTCCCACAGCCAGGAGTCAGCTCTTCCATCTTCCCCCAGCAGAATGGTCCTGGAGCACAGCTGCACCTCCCGCTCCTCCGAGGTTTCGGGTGTAACAGAGTCAGCCAGAAATATGCCGACATCTCCCAGCAGCCTCGTGGTCAAACAAGAGCCATGTGACGTCGACACGGTCTTAATCAAGTGGGAGATGAATGAACATCAGCAGAGCACGGGCAGTCCGTGTCAGGACAAAGAGAGTCTCAGTGTAAAAAGTAATGCACTCTGCATTTAATTTATTCACATTAATATTCTCAGCACTGGAAAAGCAAATCCTCTACTTCTCTTTGTTTTGCTGTTTGCACAAATGAGAAATATTATATAAATATAGGGCATTTTTTCCACCCGGTCCTGTCACATGGTGCCGTTGGGGGAAAATGACTCGTCTGGTTTAACAATGCTAAACTCGTCAGTATCACTGTTTTCTAACTGACCCATCAAACACTGAAGATCTAACATGGAAGTCGGGTTTTGGAATCTAGCAACAGAGAAGCTTGAAAATAAATACAGCCAAAGGAAAAAGCACTGTAATTAAATACAGTCATAGTAAAAATAATATCAACATTGGAGTGGTACGACTAAAAATATGTTCATCTCTAATGATCCATGTAGAAAAAATGGAGACCGGAGAAGGAAGGACGTTCAGGGAGAAACCACAGGCAGACCCGGGCGGAGCTGCAATGACTGAGGCAGAGCACATGAGGTGAGTTATATCAGAGAAACTAATGAGCTGATAATCCAGCGACGCCTCAGAGGGGATGCTAATACAGAAACATAATAATTATTTACTTGGGGACTTGATGATTTGTTGTATTTTTCTCTATAGTGTTGAAACCAAAGTGCTTGTTTTTGTCTAACTAGCAGTCAAAATGCAAAAGATTCAGTTGAATAAAAGAAAGAAAAGCAGCAGATTATTGATTCATCGTCACTGTGGGAGTGCAGACTGAAGTTCTCTACAACAGCAGCGTGCAGCCATCGCCTTTAAACTCATCTGTTACTGAAAGTAACACTGTCAAGGCTGTAAAGGTGGTTGTGAGAGTTGGGCACCTTTGATGCAATTGATTATAATTTAGTATCCTCTCATTTTGTTGAACTTATGAACTCATTATTATTATTATTCCACGTTTCTTATATCTGTTTCAAATGAACATCTCTGTAAGGATTTACTGGAGACAACCTTTTACTTCTTTATTAGGCTTTTATTGCGATACTTCCAGGAACGTGTTATGCACCCTCTGACCAGCTTTATTTGAAGAGATATGGTGCATTAGATCATCTGTGGACCCTCTGACGACAACTTAAATGTTATTCTACCACAACAGAGAACAAATGAGTAAGAGAGCGAGAACTGGGGGAATATAGGGCAACCTCAGCGGTGCAGGAACTTAACACATACAGGGTGTTTCCTGTCTCAAAACGGGACTTAGTGGGATGATTACGCATGTAAGCACAGTTTCTCTATGAGTCTGTGTTACCCTACTTAACCGAAGTCCGTGCCTCGTATCTTTTTTCTTTTTTTGGCTTTCAATTTTAAAAAATGTTTAAAGGTAATTCCTTGAGACACTGATACAGGACTACAGCTTGGAGGCTAACCAAGTAAACGCAGAGCACAAGAATTCCCAGGGTGTTTTTCAGTTGATTAATTTATAATATCTATTAGTTTAGAAGAGTCTAACAGAAATAATTTTGGTGTAAAATCTTTTACCTCCTCAGGAACAAGAAGAAGAGCGTGCCAATGTCGGAGCTGCCAGAGGAAGCTCAGAGACTGAAGAGGGCAGCCTGGAGAGCAGCTTCCAGACGATATTATGCTCGAAAGATAGCTCGCCAGCAGGCAAACCCATCACGATCCAGCCCCTTCCCCCACATCGCAAACTCTCAGTATTCACAGCCCAGCTCTTTTGTGGATAAGAGGAGGAGGACACTGATATCGGAGCTACCCGAAGAGTCTCAGACGCTGCAAAGGGAAGCTTGGAGAGCCGCATCCAGGAGGTACTACGCTAGAAAAATCGCTCGGCACCAGACGGAGACGACACAGTACAGAAACCTGCTGGAGAACATAAACCCATCTGGAGACACACAGGGACCCAACAGGGAAGGACCTCACATGAACACTGGAGGAATAATGTGCAGCTGATAGACAGCAGTTTTACATTTTAAATGTTTCTGTTCAGCAGATTGGAGAGTCCCTTTTACCGCGGTGTGAAGAATAATGAAATCTGACTGTTTGTGTTTTGGTGGCTTTGAATTAATAATGATGGGAATTGTCTCAGGTCTGAATAACATGAACCTGGTGTTTCAAATGAGTCAGCTGTGCATTTCCTCAGTTCATGACCTCTTGATGATGTGTTAGGCAGCAGGATTCATCAGAATCCTAGTACTAGCAACATCGAACCTTCACATATCACACATTTCAAAAATATATCAAACAAAGAAATATTGGAAGAAATTGTCTTGATGTTCTTTAAAAATTATAAATTAATCCGGCTCCCGTCATCCTTCTGCATCCAGGAATTTTTGGTGGAGTCATGCAGTCTCAGACTGTTATTGAAGTTAACCGTCATGAGATCAACTCTACATTCTGATCTGTCTCCCTTCATGTCAGCAATATTTGCATGTACGAAACTCTTACTGGAAAAGAGCCTGAATAAATGTATCATGAGGCAATATGCATAAATCCATGGCACTAACTAACATGGCAGAACAGCGCCCCTGGAGTGTAACATCTGTAACTACAGTGTGAGTGCATCAATTGTGGCTACAATTTTAGCTCAACATCTTTGATTTCAGTGTCGGGTAAAGAATTTAGTTCAGACAATGCTGGTAAACTTTAAAGTGTATTTTTGGACTTTGTCAAATATTAAAAACACGATTACAAAAACTGTCCCTCCCCTTTTCCCGTTGAAATGAACTCTCAGCAGTTTCTGGGTTACACTTCAGTATTTGAAGCAGGCAGACAGGGTGAACACAGAAATGTTACATTTCTCATTTTGCAGTAAATGTGTACAATAAAACAAAGTGACAACGTTTCCATGTTTTTTGTATTTATTTATTCTAGAATATTAAACACATTCGCAAACAATATCTGTCTGGTGTCCAGCACACAGAGCTGCAGTAAAGCAGCTTGTTTAATCTAGAACATAAGAATGGTGACACTGTACATGAATATATTTCGGTGTTCTGTAGTCGCGCCTCTGCCCCGGGGCTTCAATATTGTGGCTTTCAACGTGTCAACAAGGCGCTCCTCCTGCCCCCAGCTAAAAAAACAAAAAAACCAAAACAAGGTCTTGCAACAGAGGTTTGTCACCGCAGAGCGTAAATATTACGCACAGCTGATCTTGCACAAATGCGGTTACTAGAGTATAGTATATGTCTGCGTGTATTCATCACACAGTCTGAAATGTGAGCCGACTGACAGCTGCGGTGGCAACTGTTCACTGAGGACAGGCGTGCGTCCGGCTGCAGTTCCGCCTGCAGCTGCGGTGCTGAATAAAGGCTGTACTGGCTCACAGACGCGCTACTGTACCACCAGCACGCCCTGAGCGTCGATGCGGACCGTTTTCCCAGCAGATAACTGAAAGCTTTGTCGTTTCTAGTGAACAGTCGGCTTTTATCTCTATTTTTCCCACTTCACAGCGCGGGGAGGACAGGGATTCTCTTGTGTTGCTGCTGCTTGAGGCTGGATGTCTCAGTGAGGGGATGCGGGGTCTCTAACCCACTCGCGGCTTGCTCAGGTCTGGACATGCTGGGAGGCAAACGCCCATCCTAACTGTGGCTGTGTGCTGCTCTAAAAAGCGACGCAAGGAACAGCCGGGTTAAATGAGGAACAAGTCTGTGCTTTAACGCTGTGTCGTGCTGGTCGCTGGCAGCAGGATTTGCATGAGGTTTATTTTGGGGGAAACAGCTTCAACCGTCGGCGCAGCAGGCTGATCCTCACACCAAAGGATTCACCGGATTTGGCTGCACGTTTTTTGTGCTTAAGGTTTCCATTTATTCTTATTTAAGGCCGCATGAAGGACCAAATCATAACTATACACGATTACTTTGGCGCACTGAATGGGAGCGCCTATAGCTCAGGCTTTTGTCTGCTAGATAGCCCTTGTTGGTCAGACAGGCGCTCATCTACATTTAGAAACATGTTCTACGGTGCTGTCAGTAATAACAAATGTATTTTTCAATAAATTATGTATTTAAATAAGTTAGATTAAAAAAATATTGTCGACAGTGCCATTGCGCATTTTGGAGCATCTTTCTGAATGCCTTTCACCGTTTTAGTAGACTTTAAATTGGACATTTTTAAAATGCAACTTTTAATTTGTATGTACATTTGGCAAATGTTGGTTATATTTAGGATTATATTTACCTTTTACGCTGGATACAATTTTCTTTTATACTCCTGTTGCCTCTTGAGAGCTCCCTGAGCATTTGGATACACCTGTGCACTTTTGGAGATGTCCATTTGGATTCGCGGCTCACTTTTGGCTTTGTTGGATTTTATTCACGTGAAAATAGTTTTCTTCGGATTCTTTTGATCTAGTCCATAAGAAAAGGGTCCGTTTTACCAATTAATCCCACCAATGAAGTCTGTGTAGCCTCTCAGAGATGCTCCATGACTTGGCAAACGCACGAAAAGCAGCAGCAAGTTCCTAAGAGTTCAGTTGCGCACTCACGGACAATCCCTCTTCAGTATTAACTGTATGACTACTGGATGGACCAAAATAAGTTGAAACCATAGGGGTAGAACAGTATATTTCTGAGGAGGGGGCTTTACCTTTTAATGCCATTTTTTAAATTATTTTATAATGGGGTATTGGAGGTCATGTTTATTTAGGGCCCAAATGGCCATTTTTAGATTTGGGGGACTTTCTGGGCTTTTTAGAAATGATTTTGTCAAATTTGTTCACCCCTACATGAGCTACAGACATGGAAGTGTCCTTTTTGCAGGGATTGCTGGGAAGAAGAAGGAGGCTGTCGAGGTTGGGACTTTGGAGAGGGAGGTATAGTTAGAGCCACTGTCTGAAAGGTAAGCAATCCTCTGTTCTGATGTGGCCAATGGTGCCTAATGTTGGCTGGAAGGCAAGTAGAGCCTCTATAGTTATTATTTAGACAGAGAAATTTAGGTTTTAAGATGTATTTTGGTGTTTTTACTGTATAATAGATCAGGGAGGGTCAGGGCATTATGGTGTGCAGTAACAAGGAAATATGGAGGGACTGCTAGGGGGAGCCAGAGCTGGGGCAAGAAGGCAGTGTGCCGGGCCTGTGCTGTTAGGAGAGGATGTTATTCTCGTAGAACTACTTACAAACACGGACGAGAACTCCGGATGGCCCTTCATTGTTGTATGTTCCTTATCAAAGTAGTTGTTTGGCTGTGTTGGCCATCAAGGGAGCACTTCCCCAGAGGAAAGCCCCACACAGGCTGAGCTCTGTGAAGGGAAAGTATCCTGTCATTTAACACGAATAAGTAGCACAAAAATAATCAGAATAAGCAATGAAAATGTAAGTGGCGTACATTAGGAATGATATTATTGGAGTTTATTGTGTAAATTTGTGCTAGCCTAGCATTGGTGACGTTATAGAAAACATTCAAGATGGCCTCTCCTCTGCTTGGAAACAGGTGAGAGCCGTCTGACATTTCCTGATTACGTCACAGAGCTGCTTTGGTTACAAGGTGTCGCCAAATGTTTCTTTAAAAGTAAAAATAAATAAATAAATACAATTATTATAATTGTTCCTTTGCTGGTTTCTGCTCAGACTCACATTAATGCAGAAGCTGAGTCACAACTACTGAATCACAGCTTTCTGTCAGCTCCTGAGAAGTGTGCAGCCTGCTGGCTGTAAGGCCCACGCTGCCACTCAGCACTGATTGGTTAACCCTTTCAGAAGGCTTTAACCTCAGGAGCTTTAGCTTCTCCACTTTGTTCACATTTAATTAGGAGTTTTATTAATTGTCCTAAACTTATATACTTAAATATGATTGAGTTTCTTCTTCAACTTACTACGAATATCTTAGAATGATGGAGACCACTTGCTAAGAAAAGGTCAAAGGTCAATATAAGATTAATTTCATTAACACAAAGGGTTAATTTAATGCCGCTAATAGAAGCACAGCAGTCGTGCTCTTTAATTGGTGCACAATTCACTGAGTTTGTTATTAATACAGCTCAGATTATACATATGACTTCACATTTTGCTGTAGTATTAAATAATCAAAGCTTTAAAACTGCAGTTAACCCTTTCATTACCTCCATTGCCTCGTGCAGTTTGTTGTATTATGTTGTGAAATGGGGCATCTTCTCCTCCAGATCACCTTCTGTGAAATTAAGGACACAGGTTGGAGACACAATACGACATCAGTGCAAATTTAGGAGGATTTAATTGCCATCAGATACCAAAAATGAAGCAGAATTGGCCTTTTATCAACGTCATGGTAGGAAAACAGAAAGTGGAGGGACATTTACTGACAGAAAAAATGTATTTCAGCCAAAAAATGAAAAAAAACTAACCGCTTAAAAATTGCAAATTCCTGAAAAAATGACAGTTAAGAAAGTCTTATGAAGCTCTAAAATCATTCAACGTGATTTTTCTAAGTGCAGGTTTCACAAGTACTTAGATTAGTCAATCGTTTCCTGTTGTTTTTGTTGATTACAAGCATTTAAACTGAACATTTAAAGTTATCCTAAAGCTAAAGGGTTAAAAGTGAGCGTCAGTGCTTTTAGTCCACAGTGGTGGTGCTGAAATCAGAAGGATGGTTGCTATGGGCGGTGTTTTTATTGTGGGCATATTACCGCCCCCCCCTGGTGGTCACGGGGATTTACAAAGACAGGAACGAGACCGTGCAGTGAGTGTGGGGCCTGTTTCCACTCGCTCAGCCTTCTGGTCACCACAGCGCCGCTGATGTGATTAGCTATATTAGTTTGAGACGCCACGGCACCCAACAGGTCTTTTCTGACAATTACAGGAAAATGAGAGGGCTGAGAGGGCAGTCTTTGTAGAAAACACCCACATATAGTTCTGTTAATAACAACTGGACGTCATCAGCTCTTTACAGCAGTCAGTTTAAACTTTAAACTTCCACAATCTTCCTCTGAACTGAAGACTGAAAGCACTTCCAGAGAAGCTGCTGTTACACAATGAACGGGTTTGTCAGCTCAGTCGGCCGTGCCATGTTTGTTTTTGTTCCTGTACTGCGGCTGAAGAGTGTCTCTGTCCCGCCCTGAAGCTACTCTGGCTGTCTCGGTGCGCGTCCTGTTTGCTTCTGAGGAGCTATCTGCTCGGGCCATAGAAACACAGCGAGAGCAGCCTGGTGCTGAATGCAGCTGAAAGAGAGAAGCTGTTAACTCCTTCACTGCTGAAAACTGTAGCCAGCGAGGGACAAAAATCTGTTTACTTCCTGGTTCAGAATCAGTGACATGAGACGTCTTTGTTGGATCCAAGTGTGCTGTCTGAATCTGTCTCTCTGTCTTTTGTTTCAGGAATCATCTTCATCAGGACCAGCATCCATATTTTCATTGTTCCAGTGTGAACTTGAAGAAAGGAAATTTGATGTAAGCTTCAGCAGCACCTTTGTGTCACTGTCGACACACAGCAGTCCTCTGTGACGTTGGAAACTGTGAAACTGCCATGAAATGCTTATTTTCTGTGGCTGTCGCAGCACAGCGAGCGGCAGCTGTAAATAAATGCTGCTGTTAGATCTGCTTTTCTATCAAACAGCTGAGACGTTAGACTTCTGCTACACCCAATTTGCCTGGTGAATCACAGCCAGGGGACATTTATTATTATTATTATTATGAATGAAGGATCCACACTAGGCTTCTATGACATAAATTATATTTCACTGCATTCTTTTGCAGTTTAGCATCACTTAAATGTGTTTATACAGCATTATATTTAATTGGTGTACTACAAATTGTTGACAGGTCAACCAGCATAATATCACCAACCATGATCGGGACATTTTATGTCTTTGCCTCAGACTGAAACAATAAGCTTTTTTCTTTATTAATAGATTCATTAAATTTTACATAAATGTCATATATCGTTAGCTTCATAGCATAAGTGCCTAAGTCATTTTTTGGTCAAATTGAGATTTTTGCCTAACTTTACTCCCCTACCACTGCTGCATCATCCTGTCCGTCACAAAAAAAACCACAAAAAAATGACTTAGGCACTTATGCTATGAAGCTAACGATATGGGAGCCTAAATATGTTTGTTTTATTAAAAGTAAAACTACTTAAAAAAAATCCATCATAGTGGATATCAGCGAGAGCAGATATCCCTGCTCCACTCAGGTATGGCGCTTTGGTGATAACCACACAAGCACCACCCACTGGCTGTTGGTTTTGGTTGGGGACATAGCCGGTTAGACTGACTGTGAACTGAGGGAGCTACACAAGATAAACACGAACCATTTAGAACTGTGGATCATGCAAAGCTGCTCTGGTACAGGCTAAGGATAAGAGTGAAGTTGGAAATGAGCAGAATAATGAAAACATAATTCCTTATGTTTGCCTTTTTTTGCATGTTCACCTTTTAGATCCATGGCTCATAGCCAAAAACTTGTGCTAATAAAACAAGCACATTATGTTGATAACTTCCTCTCATGTCAGTCATATTGTAGTCAGTCTCATTATCAAGTGACGCAAAGCCCACTGCAAACCAGGGTCGCTGGCCCTGAGAGGTTTGAAATCCTCTTCTTTAGCTAACTCAACAAAATAGATGGTGTTTTCTTATCTTTGTTTAAGAAAAATATTGAATGTACCAACTACACATCAGGGAAATCTAAAGCAAAAGCACAAGAGTATATTTATGTCACAGTAAATTCAAAGACTGTAATAATCCAAATCTGAGGTCAAACATGTAATCTAATCTCTAACTGTCACAGATCACGTCCCACTTCTTGACTCTGACCTCAGCACCTGCACCTCAGCCATGATGGATGAGGAGATCATCGAGGAGAAGGCCAAGCTGAAGCAGGGTCTGGTCAAAGTGCTTCAGTGTGTGGCCACCATCTCTTCAGCTGCTGCTGTAGTTAACCCCATCTTTGGTGTTGCCGGTTCCCTGATCCGGGTGGTGCTGCACCACATCGATGATGAAGACATTCGTACTCTGAAGCGCGAGTTTGCGTCAGTCAACCGAGGGCTGGACCAGCTCTCCCAGCTGAACCGCAGCACGCTTGTGCAGATTAAGAAGGAAACGCTGGACGGCCAGTACAATCAGGTTGAAGAAAACCTGAAGCACCAGTTCAGAAAGTTCATGGAGATGGTGGAGGCGCGGCCGCAGCACCGCGAGCGCAAGAAAGACGACTTTGAGGAGAGTTACGCCAACGATCTGGGTGACCAGAACTTGCACACGCTGTACGACGGCGTGGTGGGGAAACGCAAGCTGTTCAGTAGACCCATCCTGGAGGTCTACTTGAAATACTCCCAAGGTGATCGCCAGACAATGGAGCGACTGTGCACGCGCCTCACCTACCTGTTCTGCATCGGGCTCATCGCCCTCATGGGGTACGCGGCCGTCATCGGAGATGACGAGGAGGGCCTGAGCGAGGAGTGGGCTGAGAAGATGGAGCACGTACAGGAGAAAATGCAGGAAGCTCTTAGCAGGTGCAAGTGAAGAACCGTGAAGAGTCGTCGTCTCTGCTTCATCAGTGCTTTTCTTCAGTTTTCGGACTCGCCGGTCCACATTCCTTCTTTCATTTTCTCTCCCAATGACAACGTCTCCCTTCACTGCTTTAAAAGCCTGGTGATTGCTGCACATGTGAGCTGTGTGTGAGACATGAGCATGGCCTGTTTCCTGCTGCTTTGACATCGATTGGCTGATTCCTCAACTTAAAAAAAAATGTTACTGCAGTGGTTTCAGCTCATGGCAAGAAAAGATATATTAATCATCCATGGGTTCAGTATGCTGCGCTAAAGAAATTGCACACACATAATTATACAAAAAACATTAAAAAGTACTTTTTTTTTCGTTCCAGGGCATCAAATACTCCCGTTCTCAGTTGCTCACACAAGGTGTGCCAGACTTTGCCAGATAGAAGACTTTAGTTCATGTCCTTCATTGGACATTTTTGCTTGCTGATTAATTTGCACTTGGCTTAGTTTAAGCAGAGTCCCTGTGGTTATTTAACTGGGACCAGTCTAACCTGATTTAAAAAAAACACAAAACACTTTTAAAAAGTTTAACAACTTGACGCCAAAATAAGAAAAAGCTTTAAAAAGCTTTCCCTCCATTGAAGTTGCACATATGTCTCTGAAATTTCTGTTCAGGATTCTTTGAGCACCGCAATCTTAGTTTGGTATCAAATACAGCCCCCTACCCAGTGTGTTTAAATGTGACACTAAAGTGTCCTTTACAAGTATCTGTATGTGATGTGTTGACAGTGAGTGCGCCGCCTCGTTATAGCTTTAACCAGTGCTCGTTCACATCTGCTCTGTCTCTGGGAGAGTCTGGTGGCTTTGCGGGAAAATGAACAGAAGCATTTGAAACCTTTGGAATGAGAGCTGACTGTCAATGCATCAGCTCCATATTTAAACGTAATCTATTGCAGAGCTTCCCACAGCTTTACATGCAGTCTATTCCAGCCAAATGCAGTTTGTGAAAATATATTACACTACAAGAAAATCAGTGTGACGGCAGGAGAAACCAGCCTTCAGATGAAAGAGTTCAACTAGAACTAGAGACAAGCATCTCAAAGCCTCATATCTATGACTCTAATAACCGACTACTGTGATATAATCCTTTATTGAATATAATCAATCGTGTCATCTTAAGCAAATTATCAAAATCTGTGCCACATATGTTTTACTTGTTCTTACGTTCAATTTATTTTACACTAAAGTGATGCTGCTGTGCTGAGTTCTTTATTTTCTTTTCTAAGTGCAGAAAATATTTGAAACATTAAGACACTACAGATTTTTCATGCAGCACTACACCTGCCAATAACGAGCACTTCACTGGAGCAAGAAGCACTGAATATGTCATTATTTACCATTTATGAGGTCAAATTAAGCAATGGCTGCAGTTCAGTTTCCCCAACCTGTAATACACACCTGTGGTATTTGAGTTTCTAACGGAGCTCTCGTTCTGTGCAGCTGTGCCACTCTTACTTTTCTATTTAATGTGCACTACAGCTTTTTAGTGATGCAGGAAATGCACCAAGTATGTAAGGAGATATCAGAGGGTTTATTTGGTGGGAGGTTTTTAACATCTGTTGAGCCGTCATTTTCTTTAAGGCCATCCTGAGCAACTATGTATCATTTTTAGCGTTTTGTGTCCTTTCCTGTCTGAACAACAGTGCCTGAATGTCCCGTTTTTTGTATTTTTTATTAAGGGGTTTGTTTTAATGCAGTCTTCATGTTTTGAACAATTTCTCTTATTTTTCTAGAAAACTGGTGATGCCAAGAGTATCAGATGGTTGGTGGGTTTACTGCATTAGAACACAACGTCAGTTGTCACAGTGTTTGTTGGAAAAGTTATCCAGTAACACCTCAGTTAAAATTATTTTTTTAGTATATATATATATATATATATAGCCATACTTTTCTCCTACTTTTTAAACACATAGACTCTGTTACAGACTGGTTTATGGTTCTGTTGCAGTGTGCCGCCATCTTGTTACAACACTATATGCTACGTAAATATAGTTAAAATTCTGTTGATATTTTGGGAGATCATATGGCCCTCTTTTTGGTATGCCCTGTATGTGAACATGTTGCCTTTTTAGTTCTGCAAATTTGATGCCTGATTGTATATGCACCATAAATAAACAATCAATAATACTGACTTTGCATACTGAATTATTTAACAGCATTAAGAATGGATCGGTGTGTTTGTGATTAAGAAAAAGTCTATTTTCTTATGTTAAAAAGCTCCTGCCACTATGAAAGTGTGCATGTAACTGAGTTATTCGCACATACAGGTGACCAGACTTCCCTTTATTTGTGGGACGCATCTTTTTTTTTGTTAAAGCTCATCTGTTATCCTACATTTTCATTTGATCTAACAGTCTCTTTTCTGAGTTAACACTGCTGTGAAAAAAGCAGGTATGACACGATCAGGTTAATCTGTCGCCCTCTACAGCCAAAGGGAGAACATTACAGGTCACCGCAGTGTCACAGGTTTTGCAGTTTACAGCAGAACATGATGGAAACTGTCAGTGCGCCCCAGGGCGGCTGTGGCTATACTGTAGCTTGCCATCACCAGTGTGTGAATGTGGATGTGAATGGGTGGATGATTGTGTATAGTGTAAAATGCTTTGGGGTCCTTAGGACCAAGTAAAGCTCTATACAAACACAGACCATTTACCAAACGCCATAATAAAAGACACAGCTATACAATAAGACTAGAAACCTACTTATAACTGAATTAACCTATTTTCTGATATCCGTGGATGGAACAGCAGATTTGCTGTATAAGACATGCTCCTCTTTGTGCTGATTATATTTACTTGGAAGATTGGCAAAGTTAGTCTTTTTGAGTCTCTGTTGGATGTAGGAGGACTTAGCTGGCCTGCACAGAGCCCTGACCTTTTACCCAGTACTAGTCATCAGTACCGGATGTGATTTACTTTCTAGGTTCTGCAATCTGATGGAAAGCACTTCCAAAGTAGAAAAGGTTTGGAATTTATTTAAAGAAATTTTTTTTCAGCAGATTTGGGTCGTTTTTAGTTATTTATTTATTTCTTTTACTCTTTTGTAGTCTAAAAATGCTGAACGAGCCAAAGAACTGGTTTAGATGTGTAATAAATGTGGCATTTAAAATGTATAAACTAAGAAAATGTGTTGTGGGAACACAAATGTAATAAATTGAATGCCATAAAAAGAACGTTTTTGGTCCCAAAAATGAGATTTTAGATATATTGTTAAAGATATACAAAGAAAGGTCATTGCTCAGTTACATTAAGGTGTGTAGTGCACAAAACTAAATAAAAAAGAGCAAAACTGAAAATAAAACGCTCTTTAGTAATGTATCTGTGACCTGAATTATTGTTTTGTTCCAGTTTCTTTTTTTTCATTTTAGTGAATATTTTACTCTTTAATAATGCTGACATTTTTTTAAAAATGTATTTAACATTTTTTGAGTTTTTGTTATTTTTTCCAAATACATAAAATCAAAACCATCCATCAGTCATCATCATCTCCTTACACAACGTGTAAATTTCCCCGAAAACAAGTTATACCTCGTTTAATTTTAGCTATGAATAAGAACTTTGTTATTACGGTTCCTCTGTGCAGCAGGCGTAAGCTGAAGTGCAGTTTACTCATTTGTACGCAAGAGGGCGTTAGTACTTCACTTGTGTCATCATTACACCTGTTTTCTCGGCGCTCCTTCAGGGTCCACGGAGTCATATCTGTGTATCAAAGCTGTCAGCCTAATAAAAGCTGTTTCCATTTTTAGAGGCCAAATAACTCTGCTGGAAAACCCGAAATTAATTTACAAACGAGTGAAAAAAAATCGCTTCAGGTGAGGTAAGCAGGGCGCATCGCCGAGCTTAAGTCCCTCTGGTATGGCCCTCGTGCATTATTATCCAGATGAACAGGTTTGACTCACAGCTCAGTGTTGGGGGATCAAAACAGGAAAATGCGCATTACGGGCATTTGCAGTGCGGATTACTGAGACACAAAGATTTTGAGGCGCTTACCTGCGCTGCAGATTAATGAGTGCTTGTGAACCACCGACGCACATCCTCCGTCATGTGATGGAGCTTTTCCTTCTCCCCTCTTCGTGACACGAGGTCCTTTCGAAGAATCTAAAGAAAATTTGTATTAATTGAAAACTGTAAGAGCTCTCCGTCACATAGCGAGTATGAATCCGTACATATGATGTTTTAGACTCGGCGCTCAGGGCGCGTCGTGTGCGCACTGAAAAGGCGGGGGTGTGAGGTTTAATTTAATCTCAGCCTCATGAGAATGATGAAAAATGACAACATATGGTCTTTAGTTTATAAGAGATGTTTCACGGATGTATATAAATTTATGGCAAATCTGAACAGAAAATGATGACATAGTGATGCGCAGTAGTTCTAAAAATATACAGTGGGTAGTTGTCAGATTCCCCTCGCTGATTATTTAAAATATCCTTTACCGTGATGACATTTTCACAGCAGTATCAAAGCTCTTAAAGGCTCTGAGCATTGGGGTTTCTAAACCTGCAGAAGGTCAAATAAATTCGTTAATGATCCGAAAACGCGGTTGAGGTGAAAAGGAAAATCAGTGCATCGTATTCAGACGCTAAAGAGACAAAAGACAACAGTTTTTCGATCGTCTTACCTCAACTTCTGGATCATTTTCACAGCGGCTGAGGCATAAAATGGTGAAATATCTGCGACAAGTGTGCACGAACGCTGCCCCAGAACAAGAAGAAGAAGAAGAAACGCCCACTAGAAAAGCAGTTTGATTAATTTCCGTTCTGTTGAAGAAGTTAAATCTTCCAGTCATTGTGACCTGACTGAAAAGAAAATGGACCCACCACACATTTCACCCTGCGCAGTTTTGCGCTCTCCTCCTCCTCCTCTCTCTCTTTCCATCTATCTCTCCTTCTCGCGCGCTCTCTCCCCCTTTGCAGGCATTCAATGCGCATCTCCGCTCTCAGTCCGGTTTTGGACCCTTCTCAGCAGTGCATGAGAGAACCGTGGGAATTTTCTCAAACTTGAAGGGGGGAAACGTGTCTGCAGCTGTTGGAGCTTATCAGCCGCGAAGGAGCAGTAGAAGCATTTCATTCAGGTACAGAAAAAACACTGTTACTATAAGAATGTCATGAATGTTTATCTTCCTCCCTCATCAGAAGGGTTAACATGCTCCAAGGTGTGTCCGATCCTCTGAGGGGATTTGCGCGTAAAAAGATCCACGTTGCGCATTTCTTTTGAGCGCGCATGGCAGATAGAAATGGTTCAGTTCGGGCACATGGAATTCCCATCCTTAGAATATTTACTTAAACCTTGTTGTTCATAGTTGGTATCTTATTGCGCTCATGTTTGTCTTTATTAATGCAACAAATTACGAGGCCTTTTAAAATGTAAACAAAATGAATGATGATTTGTCGCAGGTTGTCGGTGATGCAGATTCGAGTTCAGACACAAATATCGTCTGAACTGGGATTGCACAGTAATTTATACATGTCAGACTGAAAGATGAAAGCGGGTTTTTAAACATCTGCGAATCTAAAATGAGTCAGAGCCAAGGGCATCTTCTCATCCAGGCCCCCATTTTGTTCACATGACATCATCATCTACATCCTTTTGGATGCGTAAAAAAATGAAATGTAATCCAAGGACATAATGGTGCCCACCAGAGCAGGATTAAGACGCAATGTGACCAAAAAAACAAAACAAAACACCAAATCATGCTCTAAAAATACTGAATTTCATCTTGAACTCAGATTTCTGACATCGCATCTCTCCTCCACTTGTGAAAGAAAGAGTCTTTGACATAAGATTAAATAATAATAATAATTCAGTGACATATTGTTAAAATAACAAGCATTCAGCAATGTCATTTGACTTGTTTCTCAGAAAATGTGTATTTATAGCATCAAATTGATATTTTCTACTATTTACAAAATAAATATAGAGAGTTGGCTTTAATATATTTAGAAAAAAGGTCCTTACCAGTATGAAGCAACACAGTATTAAACTGTAGAGCATTACTGCTCTTAAATTCAGTGTACACACTACAATTACTAATCAGGTAAAGTTAAAGCTTTTATTTTAAAGCAACACCAGTGTCCTTCATTTTCACACACATGCAGTTCAGTTGAGCTTTGTTCCTGCAGCATCTGTTGTCTTAATATTAAATGCAGATACAGAAGTGACTTTCAAAGTAAGGACCAGGGACCCCCAGGGGTCTGCAACAAATTGCTAACAAATCTGGAAATTGATTTTCTATAAATAATATTTCAACAAAACAAACTTAATGTGTCAAATAGTGTGTTCCGACCAACACAAAGCTTCACTTTGCATTGGACCATTTTGCGCTCCATAATTATTCTCATCTAACAGCCAGTGGGGGAACCATCACCTTTAAAAGTACAGCCAACAGCTGGAACAGTAACATTTCCAGAAGTTAGAAATGTTCTATACTCTTCTGCAAGCTACCTCACTTTTCTGCTCTCTTTACAAAAAGGGAAGTTTGATCATATTTCTATTTTTAATTCTTGGTAAATCCAGGTTATGACAAAATTGCAGCTGACACGAGGTCAAAACAGTCTGAAGAGAATTATTTGCTGAAGCGGGATTTTTTTCATCTAAGCAAGCCGTTCAACAACTTTTGGTCTGAACAGTTAAATTTATTTTTATTTATATAGTGCCATATCACAACATATGTAAACATGTGAGCAGAGTGCAAAATGTAGAATCCCACGCGTGCTTGGATTTTTTCCATCCTTTCTCCCTTGGCCCTTTCTCTCTTCCAAAGGACTCATTGCACAACAAAAGGAACTTTTCATTCACAGTGTGGGAATTTTTCAGAAAACTAACAAAAAAACTGGAAAAGTATTTTCATGGTGCAGAGATTTATATTCAGACCATACTCCATCTAATCTTTGACTACTGCACTACCAGTTAAATAATCTGAGGGACACTTTACGGTTTCATGGTAAAGTCTGAGAAATGACCACTTTCTCCTCATCCTAATTAAGATCATAGATGGAAAGATATTATGAGATAATTTTTTGTATGATTATGATAACAGCATAAAGAATCACCGCTTAATTTCTAAGTTTCTATCTATGTTTGACATATTTTGCTTCTCTGTATCCCAGAACATGACTAATCCACTGGAGAAGGTTGTTGCCCAGAAGAAGGAGGCCATTGAGGCAGTGATGGATATGTTTCAGAGGGGGGCCGAGGTGCTGGCCAGTGCTGTGGGTGAGCTCTTTCCTCTTTGCGAGGCTGCTGCTCCTGTCCTGCGTCTGGCCTTAGATAATGTTCAGAGCAAAGAGGTCTTCTATGTCAAAGAACAGTTCCTGACAGTAAAGAACAAACTCGATGTGCTCTCGAGTCAGCTGGAAGACATAGACTGTGAGCTCAAGAAGGGAAGACTGGACTCCCAGTATTTCTTTGTTGAGGAGAACATTCGGAACCAGTTTAGGAAGTATATGGATATACTGGAAGCAAAAGAGCAGTTTAGGGAGGTGAAAAAGAGACTTTTTTTGGAGCACTTTGCCAAAACTAGAGGAGAGAAGAACCTGCTTGTGCTCTGTGATGCTCTCATGGGGACTAACTGCTTTGGAGAGCCCATTTTAGATGTGGTAGAAAGGTAAATTGTTCCATTTTGTCACATTTATGCTTCTGGATTTACAAATCACCACTGCACATTTCTGTGGATGGGATGTCAGATGAAAGTATGATGAAACTGCTCTTCTGTGTTGTAGGTATGTGGCACGGAACCGCCGCCTTCTGGAAGATTTCTGTGTTCGGATGAAGGAGCTTCTCTGCTTGGGTCTGATTGCTCTTCTGGGTCACTGTGCCTTAACACAGGGCCAAGAAGAAGAGCAGGAAAAAATCCAAGAGTGGAGCAGCAAAATTGAAGAAGTTGAATCCAGGATGAAGTCAGCCATTGAGTCTTGCATTGCTGCTTTCCCAGAACAAGCAAAATTAGACACCGAACGCCTCCTGAAGGAAAACCATGAAGAGAATCTTCAGGATTCAACTCAGCAGCTTTTAGAGTTCTTGGTGAAAAAGTACGACTGGGTCAGCTGGTCAGTGCGGCTGATCAACCATTCAAGCAGCACCTATCGAAACTGGCGAGCAGGGGAGCATTTTCACCATGTGGCAGGGCAGAACTGGTTCGAGGTGCTCCAGGTGAACAACATCAACCTGGTGGTGTCCTACAGCACCAAACCGCAGCCTGTGCCCCACGACTGTATCAGGCAGGTGATGGAGGGTCAGGGGAAGAAGGGAAATGCCCCAGCTGTGGTGGAGGTGTTGGAGAAGCAGCTGTGCGGGTTTGTTGTTCATGCAGTCAGTCGTCACAAGGAGTCCGCGGCTGCGTGGAGCTTTCCGGAAGACTGTCATTACTGGGAGAGGCACAAGAATGTGGCTGTGTGTGTGCACTCGGAGTAAAGCTGCTAGATAATCCAGGTTTTAAGATTTTAAGGCAGAAAGGTTTATCCGAATGAAGACACTTAACATTTTTGTTGCTGAAGGAAAAATTGATGATACTCGGCATTGATCGTCAGATAATTTATATTAACACCGATCACACAAACGAAGCATTTTCAGGTATTAAGCCCAGACCTAATGCATTAGTCGTGTGGGGAGATTTACTCATATTCTTGCTGATTATTTCCAGTCGATTTACACATTAAAGAATACGTTTAAGGGGTGAATAGATAAAAAAATTAAGTTGAAAATATTACAAAACACTTTTGTTGGCAAATAATTATGTTGCTTCTATGCAAACTGAAATGTATAGCGTCTCTGACTGAAACTACATTTAATACAACAATTCTTTTAGTTTCAGCTGTAGGGTTTGTTTGTAGTGACAGCGGACTGAATCAAACTGACACTGTTGCACTTATTTTTAACATTCATTTTGTGAATGGAAGGTTTAATAAATGTGAAAGATTTCAGAATGCAGCTTATGTTTTAAAATCTTCCTTTTTAGTCTAGAGGTGTTTTTTTCTGAATGAGTTATGCCATAGTTTTACAGTAAAGCCCTTTTGAGAACAGAATTGATTTGACACTCCTACATTAGAGCTACACATGACTGGATCGGTGCTCTGCGTACGCCATCACCCAAACCGACACGTTAGAATCAATATTGGAAAACATCCGATCAATGCAGCTCGTTCAGAAAACTTGGTTTCACGTTTTAATGTTTTGTTAAAATATTGTAACCACAAATGCACTTGCAGAGCTGCGCGAGCTCTTAGATACTCTCGGATATTTTCTACATAAACGTAGTTATAGCTCTTTAAAATCACTTGCATATTACAAACTGTATTGCTACATGTCTATCCATAATGCTAACAGTTTACTTCAAAAGCATTTTACCTCAGCTGCATGCAGTAATAACACCGTCTCCCTTGAGAAACGGCTTCTCTACCTACTTACAGCTTTCAGGAGATGGTTTTGCTGAGGCTGCATCTACAGCTCTCTGCTCCCTTTTTGTCCGTGCTCAGCAGGCTGGCCTACATAACCCTGACAGGGAGCGGGGAGGTTACTTTTTCAGGCGTGAAAAACAAGAGGCTTGGAGGTTGGAAACACGACAATGTGCCTTGTGTTCTAAACACAGTGAAAGCCCTCGATGTCGAACCAGACGCGCACTGCTGACCAGTGCTCTGCCTAAAAATAATAACACGAGTTAACTGCTTCACATAGGATCTTTATGTTTTATGCATCATTTCACCTATCTCAGTGCAATTTACTTCACCTGTTAGGTATTCTTCCTGACATTAAATATTCAGTTGTTTTGTCTGAAATTTAAAAATCAACCAAAGATTTTCCCAGGAAATTTTTATGAACTCAGTTTTTTATTAAATCCACAGCATTTAGATAAAAACTATTGCTTGCTTAAACTGCATCTGCTTTGTTACTCATACCAAACCATCTTAACAAAATTAGTGGATAATGAATGGCTAGCATGTCTTTTTATGCTTTATGATAATTAATGAGTAAAAACAAAAAGCAAATGGATGTGTAAACACGTGTAATCTAATATCTGTCTCCTTTTTCTTGTATAAATGTGATTTATGTAGCACTGTCAGTGCCTGTGCCCATTAAACCGAAGCAGTGCACCCTCAGCAACACAGACTCTGGCTAATTTAATTGATATTTACACATAAGTCAGCATTTCCTGACTGCAGCTCTGCTTTGATAGACCATGAATAACCTTTGGCTGAGCTAATATCCTGCAGACGAGCAGCAAAGTGCTTGACTTAGCAGGATGGTATCAGTCATAATGCTCAGAGTAGGTGCAGCGCGGGTGGAGATGCCCTTCATGTCATATCTCAGTGGATCTGCAGGGTCTTTAGCTGCTCGGCTTGTGTGTCGTAAATCAAGCCTGTCAGAATCCATCAAGCGCTGTTCCTAAGACCCAGTGCAGTGCAGCAGGAAGTAGACTGTGTTCAAAGGAAAACAACTGATAATTCAGCTGATCAAATTGATGTATATAAAAAAAGCTAATTAAAAAATTACGCATAGAAAAGCCTAATTAAAACTATTTCAGAGACTGTTAGGGTGCAGACTGTGGGGGAGGAAACATCAGACAAGATCAGAACTAACATAAAATCAAAAATAAGTCAAGTTTCTCCCCTCAACAAAAAAATTAAATAAAAAGTAAAAAAAAGTAAAAGTAAAGTAGAGACAGACGAGGACTCCAATGTGACCTATGTAAGAGGATTCAATTCTGTGATGAGTGTTTTTCCCAACATCAGGGCTTCATGAAGTCAACATGAAGAAACTTAATCATTTATTAAGTTGAATTGTATAGAAATTGATAATTAATTGATCATAGTGTGCAATGTGTGTTGCACTTCAGATTTACTATTTTTTTGTTATTCTAATAACAACAGCCACATTCCTTATTTTGTTCATATAAGATAAGATAAAACTTTATATCTCTAAGACCGGTAGATGAGGTCTAGGCTGAATGCTGTGATCCTTTTCCACTGGTGGAAATCCTGATTGGATGCAAGAGTAAAAGAGCTTGACCAGTCTTCTCCAAAGCTTTGAACATTTCTCAAATTAATTAGTAAACCAGCACTTTATTTGTCCTAAAACAAAAAAGTAATCTGACACATAATCTATCATTACATTTCTAATTGGCATTTTAGGAAAGAAGATTAAGAGGTTTTAATAAGCAGTTTATTAAAGTTGAACAGTTTCCCTCAGTTTCCCCCTGTTTGAACCCTAAATGCTACCCTAAAGAAAACCGTCTCGAGACTGTAGCTTCATATTTACCCTGCAGCAGTGGTATGTGTATTTCTGAACACTGGAAAGTGCCGCACTAGCATTCAGTCTTTAACCTCCTAGAACCTGGCCTCCACATATGGGGACATCACATTTTGGATTGTCTCGACCATAATACCAAATTTTTCTCTTTCAAATGAGCCATATTGCTGAAAGGGGCACAATTGTTGTTTCTCATTAAAGAGTTTTGCATATCTTTACTTAGTTGTGCCAAATAACAAAGAGAAATTAAAAATGCATGCCATTAAAGAGTTCAGGTCTTAGGGGGTTAAGCTAAGATGTTAAGCTTGGAAGTGGTATCGACTTAATTTTTAAACTTTAAGTAAAACAAACAAACAGAAAAAACAGGTTTTAGATTGGGATTGTTTCTTGTTGGGCACATCTTGTACCTGTCACCGGTCTAAGATCTGCAGTCGTCATTTAATATGGATGAGAACTCAACTATAAATAGCCTTAAACCACAAACGTCTTCACTCTAAATCAAAATGCTGGAGAACAAAAACAAAACAAAGGAAAACATATCACAGACTTCCCCGTGATGCTAAACACTCCACCTGCTACCTCGCTGGCACAAAGCCTTTTTTGTCATTACAAATCCCAGACAGGTGACTAACTGTTTTACCACCTTTGATCTGGCGCTGAAAAAACAGAAAATGTGGAGCAGACGGGCGGATGGGTGTGCCAGACAACAGTGCAGCCCTCAAACACTCACAGACACAGAACCAGTCTCTGTGTGCAGACCACTGAAACGACAACACACAATAAAACAAACAACAAGCTTGCTAACGTTACACCTGTGCCTGCTGACAGTTAGGGGGTTAGGGTTAGACCGGTTTGTCTGTTGTTATTGTGCTCAATTTAAATTTAAAATAATCCAGTCATGTTATATTCCCTTTTTTGTTGTTTTCCTCTATGGTGGCTGGATTTGGATGTTAAAATTAACATGACCACCAGCAGTATTTAACATTTCCTTGGTTTTCTCCCCTGTGGAGAAATGGAAAGCAGATGCAGCCGGCACTGTAAGGCAGTGGATTCATTAGTGGTTGTGTGGGCTTTGCCTGGGTAACAACTATTGATCCAAGAGGCTCTTCTCCTGCATAAAAGGCTCTTGCTGTGGTAAACAGTCAATCCTAGCTGTCATTATGTGGAAGACGGAAAGCATCTGTTTACTGACCAGCTGGCATCTTGCAGCAGTCAGACTTGTAGTGTTTGTGGTTGAAAGGAGGTTAACGCAAGATTTTAAGAATGAAAGAGTGAAACATGGCAGGGAAATGGTGGTACTAGCGGTGGTTTGCAGACAGAGGGCGCTATCAGCAAACAGATCTGAGGGTAACTGTTCCAAAAGCAGTCTGTTGCTGCCACGATTTCAAATAAATTGCTTTTTCACCCATTTGTCGTTGTCCATTTACAGTTCAAAGTTTTTCTGTTTCAGTATCTGGTGAACATTTCATTTCTCTCACCATTTTAAACTGACTTTTACAATTTGAGATTAAAGTCGTCATGGATGATGACCCAAAGCCCAGCCTTAACGCCATGCTTTGGAAGCTTGTACTAAATTATGCAAGTCAGTTACAATGATTGCCCAGACTTTAGACCCCCCCCCCTTTTTTTTCGAAGAAAAACAACCAAACTACATGTTCAGTTAGCATCACAGATGATGACTTATAGCAGGGCTCACAGGGTTAAGAGGAAACATTTGCAGACATTTCCCTTTTCTCTGCTGCTCCTACAGGCTGTGACTCATAAAGGGACTTTTTAACAGCGGAAAGATGACTTTATAAAACAAAAAACCTTCATGGCGAAATTCCGGAAATAATAATTCTAGAAACTTGAAAATCAGTTTACAAACCTCCCTTAACAAAAACTCTTCCCAGCATCCTCTAACACAGTCCTTTCCATCAGGCTGACTTTCCTCATCTCCAAGAGGAGATACCAGCCAATATCAATATTTCATAAACAAATGAAAGACTGGATGGAGGCTAACATCAGGCTGTCCCTGGAGGAGACAGTCAATCGATGGATGGTAGGATAGCGCTGTGAGGCGGTGTCTGCCAATCCTGTCCACGCAGGATAATGGTATTACCCATCAGTCCGAGTGGCCCATCGACCAGCCTGCTGCTCTCTGAGTGGACTAATTCAATAAAAAGCATTAAAACATTTGTTCAGTGGCACACCGACTGCAGGTCCGAACCCAGATCCAAGAACTGAGTTTTTTTTTAATGGTGCTGCCAGGTTTGAGTATCTGGCTATTAATGTTTTATACTGTCTGCAAAATGAAGGATCTGAATTCTGACCAGTAGGGGGCAGTGACTCTGGATGCAGTAAAAGTCTGGGTCTATAAAAGTCTGAGAAAACGATCCTACTTCTCTCTTCATTTTTGACTTCAGGACGCATTTTTCTTATTTGTTTATGGTCTCTGTGCTTTAGTTTAAAGTGTTCTCACTACCGTACGATATAACTTAGAAAATTAGTGGTTGAGTGAAACTCATGAAAAAGCATGGGTACCTTCTGACTGTGACTAAGGTTGCATCGCTTGCTGTCTTCTGTCAGTTATCCTATTTGGCCATGGCAAAAAAAAAAAAAAGCTGAAGTCTAGGCTTCCACAAACTATTAGGACTCAAAACACGGGAAGTTAAATGAACACAGCGGCTTTATTGCTGGAAAAACCTCCATAAAATAAACCACAAAAAACAAACCAAAACCCTGAACATGGGAATTAAGAACTGAAACAATGGGAAACTAGAACTTAAACTAGACCACAAGAAAACAAACCTAGAACTGAGAACTAGGTATTTAGACAGGAACACAGGACAAGGAGCTATCAAAATAAAACAGGATACCGGCATGGAGAGGCGGACTTGACAAGGAGCGGCGACTGAACAAAAATACTGGGTCGCAGGCCCAGTACCATGAAAGCTAGTCAGTTTTTTATAAAGAGTAAAGAGGGTCTGTCAGAAAAAGGCGTTCCAACAGATGTGATGAGTCAGTCAATGAATGCATAACTCCTAATTTTTGTTCTATTAACCTCTGTGTAGTGATACCAAATATCACAAGCAACATGGGCTATTCTATGAGTCTCAGTGGATCTCAGGATTCAACATAGAGGCCACATAAAGGTGGCATTTGACACATGCACAAAGGTACATCTAACTAGGAATGCCATGCCACTTCTGTTACTTCAGGCAATATGCAGCTGCTAGCCACAGTTAGCCACATATTAGAAATGAACAGCTGTGCAGCTAGGTCTACACACTCAAATACAGTATGGGTCATTTAGCTAAAGTTTATTTTCTCTCAAGCAGGAGGTAAACAAACCCAAAGACTAATGCTGTTGACCAAGTTTTACCTTTAGAAATGTAGTTAGCTGCTCACAGGTATTAAGGTGAGATCTTCTTATAAACATATGAGTCTGTCGTCATTACAGCTAAGTGCTTTAGGAACCACTGTGCTGAATGTGGAAAACAGCTCAAAAACATCTGCTTACTTATCAGATCTATCTATCTATCTATCTATCTATCTATCTATCTATCTATCTATCTATCTATCTATCTATCTATCTATCTATCTATCTATCTATCTATCTATCTATCTATCTATCTATCTATCTATCTATCTATCTATCTATCTATCTATCTATCTATTATCTATCTATCTATCTATCCTATCTATCTATCTACTATCTATCTATCATATCTATCTATCTATCTATCTATCTATCTATCTATCTATCTATCTATCTATCTATCTTAAATTCTCCATCCTGGTTTAGCACAGGCCCTTCTGCAGCCTCTTTAAAGGGCTGCAAGATGGCTGACTGCCAATGACCCAATCACAGCCTGAGAAATAAACAGTCTATAAAGAATGCTGCAAACCCCAAACACAAACATTTCAAATTAAAAGTACATAAATGTAATATGATATGCAAACAAAAGCAATCAAACAAACAAAAACAACACAGTATTAAAATTTTCAGAATTAAAAAAATATTCAGAAATTACCAAAATTACAAGCTTGTATTTTATCATTTACAATTAGATATTACAGTTTTTCTCGATTGGTTTGGCTCATTTCTTGAAACCGAGATGACAATCTCAAAACCATAAGGTCATTTGGCCAAACAGTCTTACAGTTCTGCCCAACAGTATAGCTCACTAGCAAAATCAAATATCCTTCCCCAAACTCTTCGTCCATGCTTCAAAAGCAGATTCCTTTCCCATATAAAAGGTCAGTACAGTCAAAATAGCACAGATCCTTCTCAATTGCCTTGGCACATGTGCATTCATTTAGTGCTTTTGTCAAAATAACCTGGATGGTTTAGCACAACACCATGGATCCCCTGCAAAAGCTCACACCTCTCCCAAAAGAGTTTATCCATGTGTCAAAACTAAATATCCTTCTCATATAAATAGTCAATGCCCCCAAAATGCATTATACCTTTGGCATTGTTTAAGCACTGCAAGTCAAAATGCTTAGACGTTCTGTCACTGAGGCACAGGTCCAGCAACAGAATACCACTATGAATAAAACTAAAAGATGTTACAGTAAAATCAGCCTCCAATAAACCACTCATACTCAAGGAAACTGTAAACATACTTATCCGTACAAAGAAATGTTAACATTAGAGAACATACTGTGAAAAGAAAACATATACAGGATTCTGTAAATGTGAACAGTTATAAACACAAACAAAAAACAAAAAAAACAAAAAAAACTCTAGCCTACCATACTGTAAATAAAGTTTCAGAACTATAGTACAGTAATATTTTCAGTGGTCGCCATTGTCACCCTCTCCTTCCTGGCCACCATCCTCATCCCCCTGGCCATCGACGCGCTGCTCGCTGTCAGGCCATAAATTCTCATCCACATCGTAACGGATATTTTCCCTTGCGATGCAGCGAGGGAAGAAACGGCGTGAATGTCTCAACCATCCCCTACATTGATCCCCTGTGATGTCCTCACATGCAGCATCCATTGCATGCAGCAGGGCCCTCTGGTCTTGAGCCTGATGCTCATACACCCTCCACCTCCAAGCTGAAAAAAAAACCCTCAATTGGATTTAGGAAAGGAGAGTAAGGTGGAAGAAACTCCATCAGCATCCGGGGATGGGTGGTGAACCAGGTTCTGATGCGTGGGCCGCGGTGGAAGTTCACATTATCCCACACAATGACATAATGTGGTAGCTGAGGTCCTTCTTCACCTCTCTCATTTTCTGGGATCAGATCAGTATAAAGGTGGTCCAAAAAATTGAGGAGCTTTTGCGTATTGTAGGGCCCTAAACTGGGAATGTGTGTGGCCACACCTCTTTCTGATATGGCGGCACACATTGTTATATTTGCTCCTCGCTGGCCTGGGACATCCACAGTGGCTCGGTGGCCAATGATGTTACGGCCACGCCTTCGACCTTTGGCCAGGTTGAAGCCAGCTTCATCAACGAACACTAGGATGTGAGGGGTTTCGTTGCCTTCTAATGCCATTATTCTCTACAATAGAATAGAAATAAATCTAATCAGTCAAGTAGAGACAGATACTGCAGGGAGGATCTAACAGTACTGTAAAAACAGGGAGTGGACAACTGAAGACAATTTCTAGGCAAAATGCTCTAGTCACACAAAGCTGGATTCTGAAGGTAAAAAGGATAACGCAAAACAAAAAAACAGTGGTAACCATGTCTTACTGTAATAGTGTTACAATGATAGACAACCAGTAGTTGACTTACATGCACATACTGGTACCGCAGCCCTTTCACTCCGTCAGAGTTTCTCTCAAATGGTACCCCGTAAATCTGTTTCATGGTCATCTGAGATGTGGGAAACTGCTCCTTCGTTAGTTCTACTTTCACCTGATTGATTGTCAAGTACTGTCATAACTTTATCAAATGTTCCAAGACATACTTTCATGGTATTATATCTTTGACTAATTTTGACAGTTGAACAGACAATTGTGCATATGATGACTTACACACTGAAACCATGCTGATATGTTTTGGAGTGAGTGACCATTTCACTGAAAAATCAACTAATCAGTTTAGATCGCCAAGATCTATTTATTTGGAAAATGTGCTAAATGTGGGCTCATTGTGCTAACTGTAGCTACTTGTACATAATCATTTGAAAAGAAGCACAGAGTCACTTGAGACATGTACTAAAGCATTTGCAATTTGATAAAACCAATGAGAAATGACATTCTGTTGTGAACAATTGCAAGGTGGTTTGGAGATTTGTCCATGTTATTTTGAGAATGTCATCTCGGTTTCAAGAAATGAGCCAAACCAATCGAGAAAAACTGTAAATAAGCTTCATCTGGAAAGAGGAATAAATAAGTGGTGCAACTTTCAAATATGTAAAGATCATTAACAGAAGGCTTACACTTCTTGTATTCATAATATAGTTTATTTATAATATATCTTATCTTATATTACCTTTTTCGCTGGAATTATGTTTCTGTAACATGTTAGAAGATTTTTAGGTTTAGTATTTTAGTAGATGTTTGTTTGATAGTTGACACAGATTCACAAATTTTTCAGTTTATGAAAAAAATGTATGGGATGGTAACATCTCATGCCTGGAAAGTCTCATACCAACACTCATGCCAAGCAGGTTCAGTTTCAAAGTTTTCAGTTCAGTTTTATTTGAGTGCAAACTGTTGCCACAACAACAGTTGCTCACGCCACCCTGTAGATTAACCTAAAGACCCTGCAGTAATACAGCGAAAACCCCAACAATCAAACGATCCCCTTTGAGGAAGCAGGCGTTGGTATTACAATTATTTTTGTATGTTGTTTGTTACACAAGAATTCTTAGTGTTTTCCAACAATAAGTGTTTAAAAATCTCTGCATACAATTCCTGACTATACATTACTTCACTGTAGCGTTGTTGCAGCTTTTCTGTGCATGTTTTAACATATTGTTGCAGCTTTGCAGCAATGTGTGATCAGTCACAGAGGTCTGACTTTTTTTTAGTGAAAGCTTGAGGACTGTGGAAATCTATTGAAAATCTAAAAGATTTCATCTTTACCTGTTTTATAGATCTGCAAAGGACTTTAAGAGTCTGAATGCATCTGGGGAAT